ATCTTGTCTTTCATAAAGGCCAAGGTCAGGGATCTTCGGCCTAAAAAGGTTGGTGACCACTGCTTTAGAGTTTCCATAGTACACTTCATTTCCTTTCCGAACACGGAACTGGGATGCGGCAGATAGCGGGAGAGGGGTGGGAGGAATCACAATGTCAGCTTAACATCGTGATGTCTGTCAGCCATCGGCTATGGACGATGGCATCGTCTATCTGCCCAACACGATGGCATCGTCTATCGGCCCAACCCTATTGTATAATACATAAATATTACTTATTCATCATATTTAATTATCATGAGAAGTTAACATGTTAACTTACTTTTCTCTTTCTGACAAGACACTTTAATTTGTAAGACAGAGAATAAAAAGTATGCAACTGATCAAGAAGACTTCCTCATAAGCATTGTATCGCTTATGTAGCAGGCTCTGAAATGTGTGGAATTCCCTGCTGTTTTCTGTCTTCCAGTAAATAGGCCTTTAACTTGTGATTCATGTGTTCAAAAACACTGAACAAATGACTCATCTGAAAAATGCCTTGACAATTATTGACAAAAGATAAGTACGCAAATACAGGCAAGCAGGTAATTCAGGTTACAGAAGCAAACTGAAGGAACTTTAAACATATTGAGCTATTATTAAAGACTCGGTTCTTTGCAGAGTAAGAGAGAAACTCAAATCCATGTGAACAGCGCCGGCTTAAATAGGTTTCCTGTGACACATCTGGATGAGTCTCTTCTAAACAAACATCACAACAGCTGAGGATGGGAGGACTGCCCAAATAATCCCAAACACATCTATTTTGCGGTTCATCCTGCATAGTAACTTGCAATATAATATATTATTGCAGTTAACAGACAGCTAATCCCTAGTTTCCTCATGGCCTAAAGTAAGGTTATAAGGTTACACAACCGGAGCAAAGTGTTCACATACAAACAAACTCCAACACTTGAAAAGTCTCCAAAAAAAGTGTTTGTAGGAGCTTACTGATCAAAGTCCAAAACTAATGTGTGAATGGGTAAAACTGAAGTACTTGCCCAGTTGGTTGACAACTTTAGGAACATTTCATAGTTTAAGTTGAACTGTAAGAATGACAATTTGACGATGTAAAATGACTAGTGTAAAATCAACAAAATCTCCTCAAGAAAGCATCTGTCACAACTTACATTTAACAGCTTTACATTAAAAATGGCATAAAACCAGCAAAACAAAGATATGATGAATGAATGAAATCATGTTTTTTATGACACGAGGGACAGATTCAGACTAATTTCATGGCCTATATATGACGCTGCGAGTAACACAACCACCTCATGAACACCTCATCAATGCTGAAGATAATAAACTGAAGAGATCAGGGGCCCGTTCTTTGTACGTCGCTAACTCAGTTAGCTGAATTTGATTGTTGATGATTTGGCATGATCTTGGATTGTTTGGTTCTTCGAAGCTCATCCCGGAGTTGCTGTCATAGCAACAGGTCCATAAACTTAAACCTGCTCGGGAGCAGGCTTATTTAATGTAAACAGGATTAGATTGCATTATTTTAAGCAGAATTGATACTTAAAATCTGTCCGCTACCACCGCTACTTTATTACAAGAGTACCCTACTAATCCAGGGACAATAATTTAAAATAATGATCATTTAAAAATTAATTTAAAGATAATATAATAACGTTGTGTAGTCTTTAATACTATAGACCAGGGCTGTCCAAACTCGGTCCTGGAGGGCCGGTGTCCTGCAGAGTTTAGCTCCAACCCTAATTAAACACACCTGAACTAGCTAATCAAGCTCTTACTAGGCATAGAAACTTCCAGTCAGGTGTGTTGAGGCAAGTTGGAGCTAAACTATGCAGGGCA